AGTTTGAAAACCACGGTCCGTCTGTGCAGCGATTTGTATCAGTGAAGCCGATTTCAGTGCAAAATTCAATGAATGGCAGGGAGTTTGGGTCGCAGGCTGGAAGTGGTCGGCAGGTCATGCACCAGGGAAACTTCAGAATCAGATCTCTGAATATCCGGTATCCAGCGAGATGAGAGAGGAGTACGAGCATGAATTGCAAACATGGATGGACAATGGTTGGTTGGTGCCGTACAGTGATAAGGAGTTTGGCCCGCCCAAGGGACTGATACCACTGATGGCCATGCTGCAGACCAACAAGCATAATGTGTGTCTTGTAATGGACTATCAGGAACTGAATACCTACGTTGACACATTCACAGGTGCCGCGGATGTTTGTACAGAAAAACTGCGAGACTGGAGACAGCAGGGTGCGAACGTGTCCATTCAGGACCTCAGGAAAGCATACCTACAGATCCGTGTTGAAAAATCTCTGTAGCCATACCAAACAGTTATGTTTAAAGGGAAGTGATATTGTTTGACCAGGCTGGGGTTCGGCCTGAATGTAGCGCCCCTGATAATGCAAGCTGTGCTCAAGGCTGTGTTAGCACAGAATGAAACTATAAATAGAGCAACGTCGGCATATATTGACGATATATATATCAACAAGGATGTGGCGTCGGCAGAATCTGTGAGGAAACATCTCGAGCTTTACGGACTGCCGAGCAAGGATCCAGAGAAGTTACAGGATGGAGCCAGAGTGCTGGGGCTAGAAGTATGGAAGGAACAGGGTCGACTGTGATGGCGACGAGGAAGTAGAATGGTAGACAGCCCTATGACTATGACACGGAGAGGTATTTTCTCCATGTGTGGCCGGCTGGTGGGACACTTCCCAGTGTGTGGATGGCTGCAAGTGGCGACAGGCTTCATCAAACGTCAAGCCACTGCCGTAACGCAAAACTGGGACGACAAAATTTGTGATGCTCCTCTGGAACGTATGATGACGAATACCCTCACCCGGGCACAGCAACTAGGATCCTGCGCAGGGAGAATGGTGCGGGAATACGAAGGAGCTAGACGTGTGGGTGGACGCGAGTTCGCTGGCTGTAGGAGTAGCGCTCGAGGCTAAGGGAGCTATCATCGAGGATGCATGCTGGCTATGGTCGATAAAAAACACCCAGCATATCAATGTGGCTGAACTAGATGCCGTGCTAAAAGGAATCAACCTCACGCTAAAATGGCAGGCTACGGTATTACACGTGAACACAGACTCCCTCTGCGTGTACCATTGGGTGACTAATGCCCTTATGGGAAAGTTTCAGCTGAACACCAAGGCCGCTAGCAAGATGCTCATAAGGTGACAACTTGAAACGCTAACTTCTCTTGTGAAAGAGTACAACCTTTCGGTTGACATAGCGCTAGTTAAATCCGGCCAGAACCGAACTGACTAGTTCCCCAGAGGTGGTTCAACAATGTGAAAGAACTCAAACCTATTCAACCAGTATGTGCTTTTGCCATAGGAAACCCCGAGCCCTGCTCAGTTAACTGAGATTCATCGACACAGCGGGCACCCTGGAGTTAAACGGACACTATATTTCGCATGTAGGATCAACCCGTCCGTGTCAAAAGCAGCAGTGAGATCGGTCATTTGGAGTTGTGAACAGTCAATAGATCCAGCTTCTGTGTGATGGCAGAAGGGAGAGCTCAGTGTGCGTGAAACTTGGAGCCGTCTAGGCATGGACATCACGCACTATAACGGTCGCCATTCTTTGACTCTGATCGATTGCGGCCCTACACGCTTTTCGATCTGGCGGCTGCTAGTTTGGCAAGACGTTGTACATGTAATCCAGCAATTGGAGTCGGTGTTTTTCGAATGTGGTGCCCCAGTGGAGATCCTGGCTGATAATGACACTGCATTCCGCAGTCAGCAATTGAAACAATTCACGGTAGAGAGGTGTCATCGGACAATCAAATGGATTGTTGTGCAAAAGAGCTGCCCTATTGTAGAGGCCGTCTATTGGTATAACATCACACTCAGGGATGACGTGTCTGCTTCTTCTGTGCCCGCCAATCTGCTGCATTCATACAAAATTTGAATAAAAGGAATTGATGTTGTGTCCTCGCCTAACCAGGTGACTTCGACTCGGTATAAAGAAGGAGGTGCAGTCTGGGTAAAAAGTTTGTGAAAGGTCATGTCACGGGGATAAGCAGTCCGCAGTCGGTAGTCATTGATGGGATACTGCAGCACGTGGGAGATGTACATCCACGGCTCACTTCATTGTTACCAGCGGATGATGGCGGTGACACAACGTCAGGGAGTCATGAATGGCAAAAACCAAGTTCCAGTGCAAGCAGCAGCGACACCTCATCTGAAAGCGAGAAAGAAGTAGACTTGACCCTTATTGATTCCCCGGAATATGATTCAAACCAGGAGAGTTTAACTGATAGTAATATGAAAGAAAATTCTCCAAACAAATGATTATTTCTTTGAAATGTGAATTTCTGTAGAAATGTGGTCTTACCAAATGGAAAAGGAAAATTTTTGTTAAGACCAGAAACTCAAAAACTCGTTTGAATCAAAGTAGAAATGTTTAGTTGAAAATGGTAAAAAAATCCAATAATAGTCTCCATTATACACATGAAAGAAGCTCTTAGGAATGAGCAACCCAGGTAAATATGATTAAAACCTTTATCACACTTGAAGCAAAAATTGTCACCAAAATTCTCTCCTTTTGCAGATTTAGGTACATTGTTGCCTTGAGATGGTTGCCATAAATACTTGTCAACTGTTATTTCCAGTATTTTAATCTGGAAATTGACTACTACGGCTTTGGAATGAGGCTAAACTTTTCTTTGGTTCGGATTCTGATGTTGATTTTGAGGGCTTTACTCAAGTTGATTGGTCAAAGATGATAACCATGTGTCACTATGTGGAGGAAAATGACGATGACTACTAGCAGATACTATCATCTATGACTGTCTAATTGTATGGAACCTACTGAACACCATCAATATATCCAGCCTTTCTGAAGGTAAATTATTTCATCTATTTATAAACAAGGAAATAACTATTTGTTAAAGAAACAAATACGAAGAAGCATGTCGCTTTTTTGACGAAATGGAATCCTTCTTAGCCATTTTGCTTCTTATTGCACCCCAGAACTACATAAGGAGCAATAAAAGTTAAAGTATGTTAAATTGTTAATGTATTTGTTTTTATTTTGTGTTTTAATTTTTTTTTTTTGTTTTCAGCATCAAATCCTACATGCAAAACATAATGCATTACATCAGAATATCACTCAGCCATTCTTTTATTAGTAGACAAAAAAAATAAAATCTTTACACAATATAAAGAAAGTTACAAATTTTAAAACAGTAGGTGTTCAAATTTTTGCACCTTCAAAAAAAAAAATGCAGTGTGTGTGTGTGTGGGGGGCAATTCTAGAAAGAAAAATGGAAATTTAATAGCAAGATAAAATATCAAACACAAAATTTTGAAAAAAAATTTATTTCTTATATTGTGGAGTATTTAAAGCATCAAAATATATAAAAAAAAATTCTGTTTAAATAATCTTTTTTTAATGCCTCATATTGTGGCAACTTGTTTTTACTTTTATTTTAGGGTACATCTTTTTTTAAGTTTACAGAACACTGACAGCAATAAATCAAGTAGGAAAAAAATCTTGGATTCTTTGTGATGGGCATGTTACAAACTGGCAATTTTTGTCATATATATATATATATATATATATATATATATATACACACACACACACACACATACATACACTCTCAAAATAGATGGTTAGTCAACAAAGAAGCTAGATTTCATGGCTTTTGCAAGAACATTCATCCATACTAACAGAATTAGGACTTAAGCTCTTTCTCTTAACTACTTTGCTATTTCTTAACAGAGACCAATGTTTTTTGATTATTTTTATTTTTTTTTTTTTAACAGTTTATTAAACTTTCTAAGTTATTTAAAATCAAAACATTTTTGACTTGTAAGAATAATTCTTTTTTTTTTCTTGTAAGTGAATATTGCATTAGCAATTTTTTAAGAACACTGATTTTTAGATACAATTGCTACTATTTAATCCATAGTTGGGAAGGAAGAGATGGATTCATAACTTTCCCAGGGATATTTGTGTATAAGTGAACAGAGACCAATGAATCTGACATAACTTTAATTAGATTGTAAGCTTAGTACATGTACAAGGTTGACAAAGTTGCACTTTTTAATTTTATAGGTAAGATATCTTGGAACATTTAATATAGTCTCAGACTTTTGTGTCACCAATCAGATGTTATAAACAAACCAAACTGGCAAAATAAAATTTAGTTTACTACTATCACCCAAAGCCTTTTGATTTTAATGAGGAAGCAAGTGACAATTCATTCATAACTTAGAGGATACATTTTTTTGACAAGTAATTTTAAAAATATTAATACGGAAAAAAAAAATCAGATGAAACCTTGAGAGAAAAAAATGGTCAGAAATTTTAAAGATGTTCTCCTTTTGATCACTTTTAATTTTAGCAACAGGAAAAATAATATTGTTCTATTTTATTTATGTAAAAGTCTTTGTCAGGTAAATTCCTGAAGATTGGAAATATTGGCAGGTGGAGAGAATGAATCCTATAAATGCTAACGACACTGATTAATGATGATGAGATCAAATTTCCAAAAGTGGAACATATATACATCTGTTACTGCTTCTTTGTAAAGCCAAAATTGTTATTTAGGTTAAAGTTTAATTGGTGGGGGCATCCTAATAAATTACAAATTTTTTTAAAGTCTCTTTTTCTATAGCAGTGGATTTAAGTGTTGTCAAACAAAAAATTTAATTGATTGCTTCAGCTATCAAACACACAAGGTTATATTTTAATGGAAAAATTGATTGATGACAGCTTTCAAATTAATGGTTACAATTTCTCACCACCAGAAAAATAGAAATAAAACAATAGAAGCCCAGTCCAGTTAGTGAAAATATGAAAAAGAAATGTTTTTTTCCTCTTAATATTTTAATCTTTCTTCTTAGAATTAGCATCTTTTCCTTCAGATGCATTCATTTCTTTTTGAGTTTTTGGTTTCTTTTCCTTAGGGGCTGTCTTCTTGCACTGCTGATAGGCATCATTTAAACCCAGATCTCGGGTCATGTTTTCCTGAAAAGAGAAAAAAAACAAAAAAAAACCAAACAATGAAGTCATGTATAAAGGTTATTGTCCTTAAATTTCAGAAAATTTGGACAGACTAATCAACTTCCAATTTACTCTTGGTTTACATCCATGGCTCCACAGATATCTCACAAATCTCTTCAAATGAAAAACCAGATCTATCAAGATTTTCTTTCTTTAAAAAAAGTCATTTCTCATCTTGACTTCCCTGAATTTTTTAGCAACACCAGAAAGGAAACATTTTTATACTTATTGAAAAATAAAGACAAGGTTTTGTCTTGCGGCTTAAGAATTTATTTTTTACACTATATCAGATTTTATTATGCAAATCAACGTTTTCATAATAAAACTGGTACTAAATAATTGATATTGAGAAAAGTTTTAGGATATATTTACATAAGCAATATATTGCATAAATTTCAGCTTATAGTATTGTTTTGGTGCTGTCAGGATTTATTACGCAAACTAAGTCCAAAATAAATGTTTATTTATAAATAAATCCAAACAATATAAGCCATAGAAATATATTTGACTAACACAATATCCAATATATCTGAATAAATTATTTTACAGGTGAATATAGGCTCCTTGACATTTTATTACCTTTATTAGTGCAATAAAAATGTCATCTTCAATTGATTTAAATTTTGTAGCATCATCAAATGATATACAATACATCAATGCAGGCACCATCTTCAATCTTTCAAAATGGTTTATATATACACTACAGTTTAAAAGTTATTTAAATTGGCCCCCAAAAGTAGTTGTTTGTACTTTAAATGAGAGAAAAATTATTATACATGGTTTAAAAAAAAAAAAAAAAAAAAAAAGGTGAGATATAATTTTTTATTAGAAATTTTATTATGACAAAAAATATGATAAAACAAAAAATGATGATAAAAAAGCATTTTATGAATAAATTTTGCTTTCATCAAAATATCCTCCATTAGCCTTGATTACTGCAGCACAAATGTTTTGGCATTCGTTGCAAAAGTTTCTCAAAGTATAAGTTTGTTAATTGATTCCATTCTTTTTTCAATGACTCCAAGAGCTCTTTTTCCATTTTTTTTCACTCTTTTGTCAAGTTCTTCCAATGCTAATTCTGGGGGTGGCTTCAAACTTTTGAACTGTAGTGTATATAATTTGTTTAAACATTATTTTTTAATGGATACTAACATTTCAGTAGATGCTCTGTTTTTAAGGGAAGGGTTTAAATAAGGGCACCGTAGCAATTTTTGCAAAATTTGTTTTTTTATTTGATAAAAAGTAATATTAATGTAAAATCTTTTAAAAAATTGATAAAAATAAACAAAAAAGCTTAAAAATCAAATATTTTATTGACAAATAACAGATTATGATAACTAGAATTATTAGCAGTGATACATTGCAATGGAACATTTTCAAAAACAAAATCAAACTTTAAAATATTGTTAGCTTAAAATATGTTGTGGAAAGAACGCGATTGTTGTATTAATGTAGAAAAATATAAAGCTTTTTCAGCATAAAATCAAAATAACTATTGAAACAAAACAAACTGTAAAGTAAATGTCAAAACGATCCTTTACTTTTCGACATGAATATTAATTAGTAATTTCTTATAGATAAAAATATTTTCTTGACTAATTTTTGTTGCCTAGTATTCAGAACCTCCTCTACTCAGGCAATTTGTATGAATCGAAAAACATTAAATTTCTATTATTTTAGATGAGGTGGGGGTCCTGTTTACAATATAAACAGAACGCCAAACTAATCTGATTTCTTGACATACATGTAGTTTTCCTTCCTTGTTGAGGGGGACCAGTCTATTTAAGTATTTCTGTTTTAAAATGAAAGGTATTATTACTATGTAATGTGTGTGTCAGTATACACATAATGTAGACATAAATGTTGCAAGATTGAAATAAACTTGTAACATTTGTTGAAATTCCTTTCATCTACCACTTTTCTTTGAAAATAGGTCTGCATAGGGCTCTGGTCAAATTTTTTCTTGGAAAATCCCCATGATCACCTTATTAAGAAAAATGTAACATTTTTTTTTTCTTATTTAAAGAGGAAAAAAGAATAAAAAAAAAATTTTTTTTTTTTTTTTTGAAGGTGAAGGTAAAAAATTGCTGTGGATATGGCTTGTGTTTAAAGGGCACCTTGGTATTAAATACAAGAACTGTTGTGGCAGAGAGCAATAGTCACCCTTGAAATAATAATTATAGTAATATAGAATTTTGTTTATAGATGAGGAAAATAATCTAGGTGAAATTTATGTTCAGAGGATCAGTGCTGTGTCAGATTTATTAATACAACATATCAAATCAATAGTGTTTATATGAATTATAGGATACCAATTGGGAAGAAGAGACGGCTTGTTTAATCACGAGGGGGAGAAGTCAGTAATCAGGCTGTAATCTAAGTTTTTGTTACTAACATCGCATTTATTTAAGTGCGTTTATGCGAAAAAACAGCGGTCAAAGTTTGGAGCTGGGTGAAGTGAGATGACAAGCCGGCTGTCACGCAGGGTGCTGCTGCTACCACCACCACTCAACATGTCCATGCTGCTGTGATAAGGTTAACGCTTGCTGAGTGAATTAATTACGGCCACTACAAAGAACAAAAAGGGTGAACCCAAAAGCCACTTCAATCCTTTCAGAATTATTTGCAATATTTGTTTTTCTTTCCTGGACTTTATTGCTTATATACTACTTTTGTGTAAAGGAAAAGTTATTCTTTTTGTACCAATTTCTTCCTCATATACATCTACATAAATTTTTCTTTGGACTTGAATCGACTTGTTCATATTTTATTTTTCTGCTTGAGCTGATTCTCGCCCCAATGAACTTACAAGTAGACCAGTTGAATCTTCTGGGATCTACAATTTGTTATTTGCTCTTCAGGATCATAAAATCATAATGTGGCTGAAAAGTGGAATTGAATTGACATTGTGAACCAGAGACTTTGATTGGACCTGTAATACTGGATCAGGACAGGACCAACGGCTGGTCTTGTAGAGTATATCAATCCAGTGGAGTCAGGATAGGTGTTACACTGTGGTATTTTACCATAGTGCCAAAGTCTAGATGCATCCCTGTGTTTTTATTTATTAATTAAACAGTATATTTATTTTCATCTACTGGCCTGAAGTTTGAGAAATCTTGTGAAAAATATGGACCCTCTGGCATGATTCAAACCTGTGTATCCTATGAGAAACTTATTAGATCTGACATGCCTCGACCTTTCAACCATGAAGAACCTCCTGATCAAATGAAGACCTAATAGTGCTTTTGAACACATTACTTTCCTGATTCTCATAATATACATATCTGCTTGGTTTCGTATCCTAATGTAAACAAAAAGGCCTCTGATTGGGAGGTATTGAGTTGCATGGAACCACCTTTTAAATGTTGTTGGTCCCGGGTCCATCCTGACCCAGCAAAGTACCATCTGGTAGCTATAACAGTGAACCCCCAAAGTGAGGCAAGACATAAAAATATAAAAATACATTATAAAAAATTATCAGCAATACACTTTTATAGTTAAAAAAATTACCGAAGCTCGGAAGAAAATAAAATTCTGGCATTAAATGACCCATAAGGAGTTGATATGCTGTTAAACAAGCAAACAAACCAAACTATGTACTAAAATTATGTCCTCCATACTTGTTGGACAAATGTTTTATTAGGACAATGTCAGACTGAAGATGTTTATAAAGGAAGAAGTTAAAAAAAAAAAAAGAAAAAAATAGAAAGATTTTGAGAAAGAGCAGAATACAGCAACACATGATTATCTTTTTTAAGCAACTTGAAATGATAACCAGTACTCAAGTGACTTAATTTATGCATAAGAATTAGTACACAAGTTGCCAAAATCTTTTATTCGAGTCTAGAAAATAGAAAAGAAAGAAATTTCAATGTAAGTAAATTAGTAGAATTCTAGAATATAGTATAAAATAATTACTTTAGTAACTTTTTGTTTAATTTTTATGTTTTATGATTGATTTTGTTTTGCAGCATATCAACATGTATTGGTTATTTAATACCAAAATGTAAATATGTAAGTATTTTATCTTATTTTTTGGGAGATAATAATGGTTTTAGCAATACAAGTCTTACTAATTAACCCGTAATGGGGAAGAAAAGAGGTGGACTCATACCTTTCCCAAGTAAGTGAATCTAATGAATCCAACTGGAATTGGAACTTGGCTCTCTGATTAATAATTCCAAGCCATTAATCATTACCCCACCTACACATTCAAGCTTGCAGCACCTGGTATTCCCAAGCAGTCACTTATCTAGATACTGACCAGGCTCAACATGGCTTAACTTTGGCTATCCTACAGGAACTGATGTTTCAATGTGATGTGGCCATAAGCCTTTTATGTTTTTCTTTCATTTTCTGATGTCAGTCATGGAATTGTTTAAGAATTAGTCAAATCTGAGTGTATTTACTTATCAATGAGTTGCTTATTAAAAAAAGTGTGATCAGAAAAATATGTTTAAAGACGCAAATGTAAAAACTTTAATTGTAAAGCCATAGCAAACTATCATTTTTTATGTAAATTAGTAACTAAGTAAATTTAAAAAAAAAAAAAAGGAAGAAGAAAAGATTTGTCTTTTATAATATTTTAAATATGACCCATCCAGTGCATCAGAAAAAACTGATAAAACCAAGTTCCATCATCTTGCTTTTCAGAAGAATTTATGAAGCACAGTTGACTGAATTGTTCTTTGAGAAAATCCAACATTTCAGACTGACTAGTTTATCTAATAAAATTTTTCTGTTAGTTCAGAGCCAGCTTTCTCAATTGACTGATTGATCTATTTTATGGCACATCAACCCAGATGGATCACCAACTTTCTCAAGAAAAATGTCTCTCATCAATTTGATACTTTCAAATAAGAAAAGCTGTCACTTACTTTTTGGAAGAAATATTTAACGACCCTGTTCTTGGCATCGAAATATGGAAGTCGCATTTTCTCTTTACCATCTTGAAAAAGAATTACAGTTGGAAGCTGTTTTGACCAAGTGCTTGTGTCAATATTATACCTGAAAATAACAGAAAAGTACAACTAAAAAAAAAAAAAAAATCACTCATTAATATTTTGTCAACCAAAATTTTAAAAGATGAAAGCCTGGATGTCTGTATTTAGGGCATCAAAGACATGAAGTTTGTTCCCTAAAAAAAGTCTTAAAAAATTACCTTGTGTTCTACAGGTCAAGTTATTTACTTCATTTTGAATTTTTTTTCTTTTTCTTTTTAACTAAAGTTTTCCTAATATAAGGTTCATGAGTCACTCAAGGTAGAAGAGTACTGAATGAGGTATGTGATATGAATGTAAAAGAAGGTAGTAGGAAGTGAATATTATGAGTCTAATGAAGATAGATAACAACTGACTCATGACAGGGAGGTCAAGATTAGAGTGTTCAATGAAGCATCCAAGTAGGAGTTTATTCTACAGACTATTTGCCTTATTGCAAATGTTGAAATTGGAACTCTCACTGACTATTTACAAAAGTATGCAAATAATAAATCAAATGGATAAAGATATGCAAAGCAAAAACAAATTGCAAATGATTATTGATGCCTCAGGACATCTTTTATTTTGGCTACACATTGGAAATAAACAAATTCTAATAACTTGCTTATCTCTCTGTATTTGAGATCAAGAGAAAGACAATATTTGGGGATTTGATCCTGTCAAATAAAAAATGATGCTCGATGATGAATTGTTGTCTTTAACAAACTCATATCCTCCTGGTGTCAGTTTAAACTGACATCTTTTTTGTGACTATTTTGCTTAAATTTCATATTTTCTTGTTTTCAGATGAAAACTTGGAAATTTTCACTTTTAAAATAATAATTTATAATTACAGTTTAGACGTAGTTGTAGTTGGGGAGAAGACCTCATTTTAAACAGATGGTTTCAGTGAAAACTGAGATGAGAATCTTTTTGTAATGATAGTTTCATATAAATATCTCAAATCTTTTGAGATGAAGCACTGTCAACTGTCATTGATGTTTTTGACTAGTATTTCTACCATCTTAATTTCAGTTGCTTTTCATTGCAACTACATAAACCAGTGGTCCCCAATTAGTGTTGTACACCTCATAGGTGCAGCAGAAGAGAATAGCAGGGAAGGTGGAATTATTGAAAGAAAATGAAAGATTTAGAAACAATTTCAAAAAATTTATATGCCAAAAATAAATATGATTTCAATATTTAAAATATTATTATGGATTAGTTGTAATTGCATGCATGAGTCCCCAGTATAAATAGTTATAAATAATTATTGACTGATTTTATTGGGATATTTTTGCATTATATCAAGTAATAAGAATATATTAACTAGGGCCTGCAAATTGGAGGATAGAATTATCAATGATAATGTTCTGACTTCAAATCTGCGGTTATCTCCCTTCAACGCACCGTTTTTTATTTTTAAATGTACTTTTTATCACATAAAATTTGATGAGGTGCAAGCAAATTTTCATTCTGAAAATGCGACCCAGAGAAAAAAGTTTAGGAACTACTGACATACACCATCAATCTATGGCTATTTGTAAACAACATAAATCAGAAATAAATAATTGGCAAAAGGAACAGAAATTAAATTCTTGCTAAGAAATTCTTTATTTCCAGTCAGCATTGATTACTAACAGCTGTAGACTGACTGAGTAGTTATGAAAAGCAACTAAAATTAAGATTATTTTTTAATCACTTCATCCCAAGCAAGGTGGTAATGCCACTAGTACGCAGAGGGGTTACAGGGGCCGAAAGAAGACAAAACATGGCGATTGATGTTGCCTTTAAATTTTTAAAGATTGTAATTATCAAGGAAGCAAGGAAATGGAAAAGACTTCCACAAGTGGGAAGTGCAAAAAAAAAAAAAAACTATTGGAGTAGAAATGGCTGTTGCATTTAGCTATTTCAACAGTAAAATGGTGGGATCTAGATGCCAATCTAGTAGCATACTTAAATTCATGTATTTGGGGCACCAGGAAAAAAAAATTGTCAGTTTCCATGAAAATATTTGTAGAAATATTGTAGATGGAAGCCATGTCACATTGGTGAGAAAGTGATTGAAGTTGAGATGCCTGGTCAGGACCGATTACATTACAGATCCTTCTTTAGATTTTACCAAGAATCTCAATATATATGGCAGGAGCACCAGGCCAGAGATGGCAACAGTATTCAATGCATGGATGAATGGTAGATTTGTAAATGTGCAAGACGTATTTCGATGAGAAAGATTTTCTGGCACAACACTGTAACTTTCCTTGCAGTAGATGAAAGAAATGCTAGTCAAAAATGAATAATGGCTAACTTCATATTGTTCTTTAACAAGTATGTCTTTTTACTTTGCCATTACATTAAGATTGTAAAATTCAATTTCTTTTTATGTAATAAAAATGAATCTTGAAAAACATGACAGAATCTGAAGTTTACTGCAGACAATTTTGAATTTTAGATTTAAAATGGGGGGGGGGGACCAAATAGTGAAATATGCAAACTGAAGAAACCAAAAATGTCAACTAAAATAAATAAGATAAAAATATTCTCACCTCTAGAAAAATAGAAGTCATTTCTCAAAATTGAAAAACTACTTACTTTTTGGCAATTTCTGGATATCTGGAAGCATCTAGCTTACCAAATTTCAGATTAGTCAATGAGTACCTAAAATTAAAAAAATTTGTAAATATTGAAACAAAGCAGCTAAATATTATGTACTTTTTTAACTGAAGTTAAACAAAAAGTGAAAATTAAAACTTTGATACAAAATCTTTTACTTTTGAAAGTGAGAGGAGACAATATAAAACAAGAATTATTTAATATATATTATAGTTACTTTTTTAAAAATATGATTCCTTCGTTACATAAGAGTTCTCATGTTTCAAAAACGAGAACCGAAACCCTCAATATAATTATTAAAATTAAATTGAATTAAGGTATCAAGCCCTGTTTCATCCTCAAGCAAAAATTTAGGAATAAACAATCTTGAAATTTACGCATCTTTATAAGCATGTTCGTTTGCAAAATTAATTACTATGGAAACGGCTGGGCCAGCTATTGTGATAAAGGGTCTAACAGTTAATTCTTATCCATATATCAGTCACCTTCGAAAAGAGGTCAAGCCAAGGTAGGGTGGGGTATCTATTTCAAAGCGGCTGATGGCATTCATGTACGCACATCGTCTGGTCAGTTACAGCTTTTGGCACCAAGATATGTTATGAAGTGTATAGAGAATTTTGTTTTATTTTATTTTTTTTTTAATCCAAATGACTGTTTCATATATAAATGCGTCGCACTGAACTACAATTTGTTTTTTGATGACTTCATAAAGGGTTTTTCTATTTAATGATTGGGTTAAGCTTTTTAGCCCTTTATTAAACTATGAAATTTGATTTTTTTTTTTTTTTTTAGCTAATTACTTAATGCGAAAATTTGTTGACGTCGGCAAAAAACCATTAACTCATGTCTACAGTTTAATAAATTTTCGTTATTTAGAAACTGAATTATGTGTAGTTTTTCATGTAAGCATAAAGGGCATGGGTCATCCCAGGTTTTACAAGTTCTTGTTCTATTTATTATTTTGATTACTTTTTTCTTTACTAAGCAGATTTTAAACTGATAGCAATCTGAGCCACATTTTTAGCATAAAACGGAAAGAATTTTTGAACTCCAGTTAGATAAGAAACGTCACAACATAGCCACATATCTTTCATTCTCAATTTAACCTTTGAAAATCACAGACCTGTGAAACCAATAAAATTACTGTAAATAAACATTCTTAAAGACTCCAGCTGCATTTTCAACTTCCACTGAAAAGTTCTCAGCCTGACCCACTTTCCAAAATTTGATGAAATAGCCAAAAATTAAAATTTATTTTAGAAGAGCTTCCTGATCAAGCCAAGAATTTTTCAGCACTTTCTTGTGATTATAATGCAACATGAAAACTTTTTAAATGCAAAGATAATCTCAACATTGCAATAAGGAAAGTTTGATGCATTTTAAACCAGGAAATTAGAAGGACTTTTATAGCTGATGATATCTGAATAGAAAATAAAAAAAAAAAACTGATTCTCACATCTTTCAAAATACTTACTCAGCAGAAACCTCAGAAAATATTGGTGCAAAGCTGATGCAGGACGGAGACCAGGCAGCATAAAATGCTACAACCCAAGTATTTCTCTTATCACGTTCAAGCTCATCCTGGAGACATAAAAATTAGAATGTGTAGTGAACTTGCTTTTTTTTTTTTTTTTTTTGTCATTGTATGAACTTGTGCATAAGAGTTGAAGATGAAGATGAGAGTTAACATAACACAGTATGAAGTAGATGCATACAAAAAGACATGGTATAGACAAGAGAAACCATTCCTCACACATAAATCTACATTATTCACCTATGGCCTTTATTTCCACTAAAAGTGTGATATTCATAGAATTTTAAAAAACAGAGCACTTTAAGGAAAAAAAAGAAGCAATAATGTTGAGACTGGCCTGCAATGTTTTTAAGTCGAATATATAATAGCTGATTTTAAGGCAGTTTTTTATGCTGAATCCAAAAATCATACTCATTCTTTCTAATTAGATCAAATTTTTAAGATACCTCTTACTTGAAATGTATAGAACAGTATTATAATTCAATTTATTTTCTTGCTGAATTAAACAAATAATACTAAATTTAGGGCTGATATATTTGCAGAAAGCCCACATTGTACCATAGTAAACTGAAAAATACACAAAAGAACCTATTCATATATATGAAAGGTCTTTTTCAGGGACTTCCTCCTGTGCTCAGCAGCCACTGCATCCCATTTCAAGCACCAGCAGTAGTCAGCAAGAAAGTTTACAGCCCACTGGCGTTGATAGCACTTTTTCATAATGTGAATGTCTTGGTGAAAGCACTCACCCTGCTCTTCATTCAAATCTCCACAGTTCTTTGGAAAATAGCCCAAGCGCGATCGCAGAAAGTGCAGTTTGACTGACATTCATGCCCCGAGTTGACAGAAACTCTTCAGCAGCTCTTCAATTTCCTTCTCGTATTCTGCACTCTGGTGGTTTCCCAGGAAGTTTGTAACTACTGACTTCAGTGACTGCCAGGAGGACAGTTCAGCTTTGCTCAGTGCTTCATCAAACATTGGGTCCTTCATGAGTTCTCTTATTTGATGGCCGTCAAATATACCAGCCTTGAGTTTCTCCATGTTTATCTGTGGGAACTTCTGGAGGAAAGCAAACCCACTAACTTCCTTGACCATTGCCTTCACAAAGTTCTTCATTATTCCTAACTTGATAGATAAAGGTGGAAGTGGTATTTTGCTCGGTTGAACATGATGTGAGCCAGGTTTTAACCCTCGTCTTAATGACCACTCTTATCTGACATAATGTTGGTCATCAGCCTGGCTGTCCCAGAGACACAGAAAACAAGGATACACTGTGTACCCACCTTGGAGTCCTAGGACCAGTCCAACCACCTTAAGATCTCCACAGATCAACCATTTGTGCTCCTGGTAGTTAACAGCAGACAACAAATGATGCTAAATGCTATTGTGAGTTTCTTTCATTTGTACTGAATGCCCAATAGGGATAGATGAAAACTATTCCCATTATGTAAAAGAACTGCTTTGAGACTTCTGCTGGATGAGTCAATAAAAAGTCACCATTCTGTAGCATCATACTAAGCCCATTAAGTTGATCAATCCAACAATGCTGTTGCAATAAACCAATGATGACTTATCCTGGAATGTGAAAAACAGTCTTAATTATTTCTCATGTTCTTGATACTAGTAGAACGTTGTTCCTGGTACCAACAGATGTTTCTCTTTGAGACATGAACCCAACAGCTGAGCAGGATTCTTTGAAAGGTTCAGGTCTCGTGTCAGATCATTGAGTTCTGCTTGTGTCAAGGGTACTGGCTGGTTGTCCTCTTCTGGCTTGTATGCATCATCCCCAGCTACAACAGTCATGTCACTATGTTCGGAATCAGAGCTATATTCCATGTTACCATCTGGCTCAGGAACAGGAAGGTCTGGGCCATGAGGGATTGGTCTTATGGCAGAAGGAACATTGGGGTATTGGACATGGTGCTTGTTCTTGCGATTTATTCCTTTTAGATTTATCATGTAGAAATAGCAGTTCGTAATGTGATCTTTACCTTCCCTCCAGACCATTGGAATGGCAAATGGCATACTCTTCCTTTTACCATTCCTCCAATCCCTCAAGTTCTCCACACATGTTTTACAGCAAATGTGGGGAGCGAATGGCTTATCCTGATCCCTTAGTTTGACTCCAAAGTAATCGCGATATGCCTTCTTCACAAAGTCAGTGATTTTTGCTTGACAGAAGAAGAACCACATTACGGCAGATATAACAGAACCTGTCAGGATTATTCTTACACTTGCAATCCATTCTTATAGGAATACAAATGTGAAGCTGAAAAGAGAAAAAAACAAATCAGCACTCAGCTCATTGTTGACACAGTACATTAAAATCATTTTAAGCTAAGGGATAAGCCCCATCCCCTCTAGACCTCTAGGTATGTGGGTAGGTACACATATAACATTATATACTAAACATGGAACACTGTAGTTAGTAGTCCAGACTTTTGAATAACTATTAACATTATATTCTACACTAAAAATCAGACCTGACCAAACACAATGAATGGTATTTTTGACAAGTAAAATGGTGATATCCACAGGCTTTTGAATAATGTTATTATTATTCTTTTCAATGGAAACATTTTTACTTCACCATAAGTTATTCAATTTGTAACACACAATCCTTTTGCAAAAAAAAAAAAAAAAAATAAAAATACTTTGCATGTCATAATGAGTAACTGGAGAATTCCAATATTCTAAGCAACATGCAGATTTTTTTTTAATATTAAAATTAATTCAATATTTTTTTCATAGAATTATAAATAAGCATTGCATCATGACAATTTTGAACCTCAGTTCAACTCATGATATTTGACGGGTGGGGAGATTACTTCCATCTTGTCTGCCAAGGTATTGCTGTTCAAGACTATAAAATAGTAATTCTCAACTGCTGTGCCATAGTACACTAGTGTGCTGCACAATCATTTTAAGTATGCTGTGAAATATTGTCATGGCATACATATATAGTGTATGTGTGTGTGTGTTGGATTCAGGGAAGTGTTTCCACCTAAGCAGATGAATTTCAGTTTTCTGACATCTGTACAATTCTAATGATCTTAGGTTTGTAAACATCATCTGATATTATTGTTAAGTATTTGAATTGTGTTATTGCGATACTTCATAAAATCTAAAATAAAAATATATTTTCAAGTGCTGCATATTGTGCCCTTCACACATGTCAAAGGAGGTCATGTAATGCTCCATTTCTGTTTTCAATCTCTTGGTCAAACAAGAGAGGGACTTGTTAATCATCATGAACCACAGAAAGAAATCTATTACAATAGAGGCAAATGACAAGCTGGAGTTGTAATATACTTGTGGATGATAAAAAGCCCCAGACACATATTGCAATCAAGATTATACAACAAATAGTATATTTAGCAGATTAATCAAGGATTTCAATGATCAAAAATAATAGAAGGAACAAATGTTTGATAGAGCCAAAGAGAATATCTGTACAATTATTCATGGATATAGTATGAATTGATATATTATTCAATTGTTCATGAAAAAGAGAAAAACTAATGTAAAGTATTTAAAAATTATTTTCTTTTTATTCATTCAATCTGAACTGCTAAAAATTCTTCAGAATTCAACCATCATGACAAAATTACCGAAATCACAATATTATTGGAATTTTGATGCTTTTGAATGTATAGTACAAATTATATAATTGACATAAAAATCTATAAAAAATATGTCTGAAAGTTAACTCCTCTCATACCAAATACAAGAAAGATATTAACAGTGTATTCAATATAAAACTTGTCAGATGAAACAGGACAACATTTTCCAAGGACAGATAAGCATAACTGCATCAAAGGAAGAATTTTGGAAATTAATCAACTTTTTTCCTAAAATTTTTCTTGTCAACTTAAAATTACTTGCAAGTGAATCCAGTTTAGAATTATTACTTTAGATACTGATTTTAAGGTGACTACAAAAACATAATCTCACTGAAATATCAGTTTTATACAAATACATGTACACACAAAATTACAATTTTGAGCAACATTATACAAAAAGAAATTGGTTTAAAATAAAAAGCTGACAGCTCACCACTAAATTTGTTCCTCTGAAGTAAGTAAAATTTTCTGGTCCAGAATAAACAGGTTCAGGACAATAGATTAAATGCACTGAAAATAAAAATCATGAAATAAAATATCTGTTTTTCAGAATAAAAAAAAAAAATCTTTTAATGTGCCTTCCTATCATTTTTCTTGTTAGCCTTAGTCCTTAACATGAAACAGCATAGTTGAAAATTGAGTTTCAATGCAACTTACAAATAATGCATTATTATACAATAAACTAGTGTACTTGTGTCATCCAGAATGATGGCAACTTTTAGAAAGTTTTAACAGTGAGATGCAATGAAACAAATGTCTTGAAACAATGTATTGAGATTCAATAAAGTGGAGATAATGAATTACTAAAATAGAGGCCAGTGAATTATTTAATTAATCCATTCCCTTTATAGTTTTTTTTTTTTTTTTAGACATTCAATGGTATCTATAATTAATAGATTATTTTTGGTATTATATGAATCACTTTTTGCTAAATATATTTTTATGTTAAAAATTTTGTGTTTAATATAACAGTGAAATGGAAATATCTTGCGGAAAAAAAGATTAGCAACAGACTGATAAAAGACGGCGACAATAAACCTATTTTAAGTTGAAGCACTTAATAGACAAAGGTATCCGAGTGCCTTACATGAAAGGCTTGAACAAATAAGATTGAAATCTAAGAAATGTAGGAATAAACGAACTGATTAAATAAATGTTTCATTTTGCTTGGGAACTAATTTTAGATAAATATTTTATTTGTATAGATTATTAAAATGACTAAGGGAAGTAATCATTCATAAATTTATTAACATCATTTATCTCCCTTCCCACAACAGAAGGGACAGGAAATATATAAATACACATTGATAATTATTATATGGTTTGATTTGATGATGGTCACAAATTGACCAAGACTGACTTTGGTGTGTATTATTATATAAATTACTGACAAATATGTAATCAATTGACTTTCAGTTGCATGCTTTTAAATAAGATTACATTAACCGATAGGATGACATTTCTGCCAAACTTTGCAATCTATTTTTTGTCTGTTTTGTGATGTCAACAAACACTTGTTGCCACTTTTGAGATGTCAATGAATACTACTCACTTTCTTAATGTTTGTTGTAGTAGAGACTTTGTAATTGCAGATACAAAAAAAATAGTATCTGTTGAACAATACTTGTCAGATGTCTTCGAATAATCTTGCACTAATAGTACTTGCTCAATAATACTCGCTTGAATAGTAATCCATATAGTGATCCAAATAGAGAAATAATATAGTGAATAGTATAGAGAATAGCAGTCCGTATAGTAATAGAGGATAGAGTAGAAATAGTGATCATTTAGATGTTGCACTCTCTCTCATATATGTGTTTCCTGTATGGTTACGTGGTCCACTTAATTCAATGAAATCGCCTGTGTTTGCTCACTGGCAATCTATGTTCAAATCAATTGTTGGCAGCAACACTTTATTCCTATGTAACAGTCTGAATATTTAGTTTCTAGATGTTTCAAATGCTTCAAGATCAAAGTAGCCACAAAACAATAACATCCAACCTCAACCTGAAATGCTGCTTCTTTTATGTTAATTCCACATTTTTTAGTCTATTGAAGCAATTTCAATTGGAAATACAAGATATCATTTGAAATCAGACTTGCCAGTTTGCAATACCATCAAACAACATTTGTTTAGGTTTCATGTCAAAAGATGTTTGGAAATGTCTTCTACTTTGATTGGTGCCAATTTGAAGGGATTTTTGTTTGTTTCCTCACAATACATTTTGGTAGCTTCAAAGAGGATTCCTAACATAAAAAACAAAGAAAAAAGCTTTAAAATAAGAGATATCTATAATTTGCATGTTCTCTAAAAATGCTTTTTCCACCTGTGGCAGAATTCATAACTCACACAAGTAAATTTCAGTCACTGTATATTTCCATGTGACCGATACATCCCCACGAGTGGCCCTGGCTGCTGGAAGATGGGCGTTTTTATTGAGTCACCATCTCTAGAATGATTTCTAACTAAGGCTACAGAGCCCAGTCTGTCATGCTATTTAACTCACAACCAAGGAGAGAAGAGATAGATTCGTACCTTTTACAAGAGTATTCATGCATAATTAAATGTATAATGCCATCCAGTCAGCTGATGAGCTAAAGGGCTCAGTGAATATCTGATAATGGCCACCAATATTGGATTCCTCTCATTAACTGTTGGTTGCAGTGACTTCTACAGTTGTCAAAAATCCAGTTGAATGCCCATGTTGTGACTGATCTCATACGACCAGAAATCTGCTGCAGGAGCTGGTATATCACAGCTAACAGCGGCTTTGACAGTTATATGAAGGAGACAATTCTTTTTAACAAATCTTTTATACAAGGTAATACCAGAAAAAAATACAAGTTTTACGAAAAAAACCCAAAAAAAACCAGGAGTGATGGATAATTATACCTTAAGATTTGGGCTCTTAGTTGTTCACTCTGGGCATCTAATTGTTGGTTTTAGGTTGATACATGATCATGGATTCAAGAGATAGCCTAGTCAGTTCTTAGGCACATTCTGATTCAAATTTAAGTGATAACTCATTCTCAGATTTCTTCTGTGGATTTTGCTGGACTATTCTGGAATCTGCTGATTTGTTCTGCCCGACCTGTGTTTCTACTCTGCTCAACCTGTGGTCCTGTTCTCTCTGAAAGTCTCAAAATGCCTGGTTTAAATAATACTTAACCCAATACCAGGTGGGGGTCTGACTGACATAGAAATATCAACCATTCCTTTGTCTCAACTGAGATTTTCCAATTTTGGGCAATTATCCACCCCTTGGTTGATTTGGTTGACCAGTCCCTTTCTAGGAAGTGTAACAAGGGGCAGACTGAACCTTAACTAAAAGCTAATCATCTTAACTATAGTAAAAGGCTCTTCACTGATTTTAAATTTTAGGTGAATTCAATTTATGGAAAAGATCACCCCTTGAAATCAGCGTCCTGTTTTAAGCCTGAACAAAACATTTTTCATCAATCTCAACCACTTGAAATTGTTTCATAAAAAACAACTGACCGGACAGCAGTAACTTTTGACAATTTTAATATCGACTTAGAAATCTATATCTATTGTCCATATCCATTACAATTTTATCTGGACTAGGGAGTTTAAGTGTATTCAGGCTGGAACATTCCAGTCAAGACTTAAATGTTACATTTATCTCAACCTGAGATAAGTGTTTTCTAGGCTAGCCCATCTGCCTGTAGTCAATAATGTCACAAATGTAATGAATTCAACTGGAATTTGAACCCAGCTCTCCAATTCCTCATTCCAAACAGCTATCCATTCCCATATCACTCTTTATATTACTTATATTGAATTTATTTGATTAAAATGTGTTTTCGTTTCATAAATATTTTTCTTAATTTTTTATAATCCCTAATCTAAATATTTGTGAAAAAGAAAAAAACATTTTTTGAAACCAAAATTAGAATCAGAAGTTATTCAAAAGTATGGAAATTAATGAAGACTTCAACTGTAACTTTTAAAATCGAGAATAACAAGTGAAAACAGTTATGAACATGAGTTTCGTGGTGAATGTTCAATAAAAGTTGACATATAGTGTTCGATGGATAGATTGTCATCGAAATTACACAAAAATGAAAATAACATTAACATCTCATTTTAACAGATATATTTACCGAAATTACTCAAAAATATCTTAAAATACTAAAGAGTAAATTTATTTAATAAGATCGCCATTGGATCAACCACAATCTCCAAACGACTTCGGAATCTCCTGTATCTCTTTTGGACAGTCTTCTTGTTCAAGTTGGTGAATGTTGCCATAATACTTGCCTTCAGTTCATCTTTGGTGTTACAAGGAGTTTTGTTGGTCTCTCACTCAACTGTGCCCCACACATCAAGGGGGTTGCAGTCATCAACTGCGCCCCATACATCAAGGGGGTTGCAGTCTAGGGATTTAAGTGGCTAGATGTAAGGGGTGATGTGATCACAGAAATTGTCTGACAGCCATGACAGAGTCTTCCAGTAGCCACCCTCCAGGACAGCATTACTTCCTCAAAGCACTTGATGTAGGCCTCTATGTTGAGTCTGAGACCCTCATAAATTCAGGAGTTCTTTTCTTATCAGAATGATCAGAGTGAGTTTTTGTAATCACTATTAGACTTATCCAAATCAATCTTTCCTGATCCTCTGCACTGTCCTCAGATTGACACCCAAACACTTTGAAATTTTCATATTGGAGCTTTTGGCATGAATGCCAAGCAGTACAGCATGCCATTCCAAAAATTCTGGTGGAGTGAATTGTGTCATGGTGATCTTTTCCTCACAGACGGTATTCAACTGACTACTATCTGTGCAGTTGACAAAATCAAACACGTGTACAAAATTAAAAATATAAAATGTTGACAATTTACCCATCGCACCCTATATTATAAATCATTGTGGTTGATTTTGAATATTCAAGTATTAAGCATTCAAACAATCCAAGTAATACTTACATAGGCACAGAATTGCATAGCCCAGTCCATAGAATGGGCCTTGTTTGAAGAACAACAAGAAATTAAGAGCTTTACCAAACATACAAGCAGTAGAAAGGTAGTTTAAAAAATTAGCTGAAATAAAGATATAAGAGTAATGTTAGGTCAAGGCAAAAATAATTTACATAAAAAGGAAAGTGTTTTATCATTTCATCCCAAGCAAGGCAATAAAATAGTTAAGATGCAAAGGGTTATTGAATGTGAAATAATATTTGTAAAAGAAAACATTATTAAGGAGAGAGAACAATAAGAGAACAGGAATTAAGAAGACAGAAGATAACAATTGACATTGCATTTAAATTTTTGAGTATCAAAGTTGTGGTATATTTTATAAATAATTATCATGTAATTTCAGTAAGATGTAACTGAATTCTTTTAGATATTTTGTTTTGATTCAAACTAACATGGAGGCTACATTTTAATCAGTGATTTTTAATTTGTGGTTAAGAGGAACAAAATTGCATGAATGGACATTTCCCAAGATAACTGACCAAGAATTTGTCACACTCTTTCCTGGTCTTTTGAACAGGAGTAGAAGCTTATCCCTTGTTTCTAGTTCCTTCTAAAGTCTTTTTCATTATCTTTCACTCCTAATGGTCTCTTGTGTCTTAGTGGTGTTATTGCCTTGCTTGGGGTGAATTGATTAAAAAAAAAATTTCATTGGATCAATATAAACCAATCATTACTTTTGTATTCTATTAATTCTCTAAAGACAATAATTTTGAAATTAGAATAATCAGTTTACTATATCTGATTATTATTCATTTCTTTAAAAATGGCTTACAGTTTATATAACAAAATATAGTATTAATAACTTTTATATAATGATAATGAATACAAAAAATGAATGAATGAATGTTTTCAATTAACCGAAAAATTTCCTTACGTGTATTTGAAACAAAGGTCTTCCACTCTCAATAGGGGGTGGTATTATAAATATCAACATATATGATTGTAATCAAAGAAAAAAATTTAAAGTGTTTATTTTCAATCATAATGAAGATAACGTGATTCAGAAATCATGCAAACTTATACAACAGATCTGTACCCTAGATATCACCCCTCAATTCACCAATACTTGCAAACTTTTTAAGTGTAAACATTAAAAAGACTACACATCAAATTTTATATCTTGTGAGAATACAGATAAATTAGTAGTTGAGATTTTGTTACGTTTTTGAATAGACAGTTACATAAAACTAGGTACCTCCATGAAATCACAAAAATAAAATCAGCATATTGTGAGGAAAATTTTCTCCAAATGTAATTAAAACAGTTTTAGTGTCAAAATCTTTGTTATTATTAAGAGGAAGGATCAAATTTTTGGAGGGTTGTTTAATTTTTTTTCCTCTTTTGAAAACATTTGAAATATTGATTAAAAAAATTGTTTTTCTTGCATTGGCAGTTATACTAACTTTTAGCATAGAATCTTTTTTGCGGTGACAGACACATTAATTTGGAAATTCTTGCAAAAATCAAATACTTGTTGGATTTTAATGAAATTTTCAGGACTTATTCACAAATGAATGAAATATTATATTTTATTATTTACTGGTAAAACCATTTTTTTTTTTACGTTGTTTCATCCACTTCATTCTATAATGTAACAGAGAGAGGTATACACACCCACATGAATGCACACATGCAAATATAACTTTTATTGACTGGAAGTGGAAATGGTGTTTATATATCAAAGTACAATTTGGATCAAGATGTGTGTTTACTGATGAGAAACATGATCTCAGGTCAGGAGGTGATGTTTTAAATCTGGGTCACTAGTAAACAATGGGGATGAGCGAGATACTTGGTTTTGTTTAACAGTATTTGTTTTGATCAGAAGGTTGAATCAATGTTTAGATATCCCAAAGTATAATTTTGGGGAAGCGAGAAGAACTCGTGATTGAGATATGGTAAATAATTGGAGAATAGGTTTACATGTCAATGGATAGTTTTTGGCACTCGTGATAATCGCGTGCCGGGCCAAAGATCGATTTATGATCAACCAGATTTATCTACATAAATGCATAGTTATGATGAAGAAGAAGCAGATGGTCGAGCGAGATGGAAGAGAGAGATTGTGATCGATCGGCACATTGTCATCGCGTGCATGAGTACCCACAGGTGACTGTTACGGGTCGCAGTGCTCCAAGCAATAGGGAAGGGGCAGAGAGTAGTTGGCTGGTCTGCTATTGAGTGCAGATGGAAGTGAGAGATGGGAGAGACTGCGATTGGTCGGCACATCATTGACATAATTCGTGAAGACCTGTATTTAGACCATTACTTTAATAAATAATGCTACAGGAGAGACAGAAGAGTCAAGGAAAGAGACTGTTTTGGAGAGAGTCAAAAGACTATCGTCGCATTGAGTCGAGATTTATGAGAATTTGAGGAGAAACTGTTAACCCCCTGTTCTGAGAAGTCTGTATGAGACTGACTATTAGTCATAAACCTACCCCAGGTGATTCAATACATGTTTATCACACAAACCCCTCTCTGTTGGGAATTCGCTGGAAGCATTTTTGTTTTTTTATTTTCTCATTTATGTTAAATGTTTTTATTCTCCTGTAAACCTCTGTTCTGATGTTATCTTCTTATATAAAAGACATCAATATTTCCCCCATTGTTGTCTGGCTTCTGCAGATATTATTTCTTGTTTTATTTTGCCACATTCTAAAACTTCCTAGTGCCAACACTCACAGCCGTGTCCACTTCCCCAGTCAACTGTGAATGTATGGACAACACCCTGCTTACTGAGCAGACTGAGTGGACACCTCAACCCAAAGAGGAAGACGCCGGAGGTTGAGGGGCTGGGGACGAAGTGGTAGATAAAACACTTGGGAAATTAAACATGATAATTTTTAGAACTATGTTAAAAGTAGAATTCTTTGCCAAATTTAAATCACTGAATTTTTTTGCAAAGTTGGACCCCATCTTACCAAAAATCTGTTCTGAATTGAAAAATAAAAAATGCAATAAAACTAAGACATTATTTAATTAGTGAAGCTTTTAATTGCTTTTATGAATAATATATATTAAAGAAAATATTATCTTATGAAAAATGAATTTTTACAAGATTTGTTTTCATCTTTTACAATTTTAAATTTAATAATTTATAAAGTTTTTAAATCTTTTAAAATTCAGTTTCAACATGATAACTATAGGATATATTGTTATTAAGTAAAACTATATTTACTAATCATATATTGTACAGCTTATTTCAATCTGACAACCCTGAATGTTTTTAAAAAATCTCCATTTGTTTTTGTTTGTGTATATACGTGCAGAATTTCTGAAGTATGGATGGACAAACTGATAAATCTATTATTAAAAGGTCATGTGTTTTAAGGATTGTCTCCCTCTAAACTTTATCATCTCCACCACCTTACTTAACTATATACATGTTTGAGGGTCAATTGACTGTCAATAAACCAATTAACACATCAGAAAAACAAAACTCTGTGGTTAAAAAATGCTTGTATAGAACATTTTATGCTATAAGTAAGTAATATTTGTTTCAAATCAGATTAATTTAACTTTAAATTTGCTAATTTTTCTCAAATGATGTTTCAGAAATATATATTTTATTTTTGCAAGATTTTTTAAAACTGAGAATTAACTTTTGTTTATAAAGCTATCAAAATGGCTGATTTTACTGAAGGAAAAAAAAACAAAACAAACAACATGATTCCAATCAATATAATTTCTGTTTGAAATACACCACAGGGTATTTTGCTGACTGGAAATAGTAAATTTTAAATCCTTTACCTTTCTATTAAAGCTAAAATGAAAGTTTCAAGAAAGCGTTTTCAATTTTGAAAATTCATTTCAAACCTTGCATATACCAAATTAGGGGAGATACCTACATAAAACTAACAAGGCTGTCATTGTTGTTTTTCATGAAAATTGTAGATAGAACAAAAGAATTTAGTATTGCTTTAAATGACTTAAATGCAAAAGGTTTCTACTTACCTTGTTTCCTATTTTTTATCACAATTATGCAACCCAGGAATGTTAACCATTCCCATTCTTTCTGAAAAACAAAGAAACATTGTATGTAAGGTAAAAGTTTAATGTACAAATGTGGACTACCAATAACAATATATATTTTATTTTCATATTGAAGTTTTAATTACTTTTTCATTTATCTGATCTACAATGAATAAGATACTGGTGCCCCATCAAACTTAGTAAATTGAATTAGTACCTCACCAGGTGTCAAACACTTTTGACCTTGTGTCAGAAGTTGTGCTTAGTAGATATCTGCAATGAACACAATGCTTCTTTTTCATATTTTCTGAACTCTCTTAATGACAAGAAATGTCAACAAACATCAAAGATGTTAACCAATCAATTTGTAGCATCTGGAGTCAAAATGTAATGAAATTGCAACAAATATTTAAATACCTGCAGTACATTTTTTAACATGTCTGTGAGCTCAGTTCTCCTTGAGTGCATTTCGAAATATGTCAAAAATACGATGCTGAATTAGCTTTTGAGAAGTACCTATCAACATACTCCTTGTAATATGCACATGACTTTTATCATTACTAGCAATGAATAAAGTAGCAATTTATCCTATTTTTATCTGTAGAGTATTTACTTAGAATACGAGTGTTCAATGGCATGAACCTCCCTTTTTTTTATATAAAATATTGCTTAGCAGTGACCAAGACAAAGTTTGTACAAAGAAATTTAGAGTGGATGCCATCTTGATTGAAACAGCATTAGAATCAGCAACCAAAATTTATTTTAAACAAAGCTATTTTGTTACTTCCAGATTCTGATATTGTAGTGGAAATGAAATGCAGATGGAGCAGCCAACCGCTACTAATAATGTTAACCACCCCAGTCAGTCAAAGAGTCAAGGTTTAGTATGCTCTCTAAAGAAAAACAGCACATTACTGCTCTGTCAGAACAGAGCAGTGTGAAGCCTAGAACATCTGGTTATGAAGAAAGAAAGTGCCTATCAGCTTTTCCATGATAGGGTGGTGAGCTGAGTGGAGTTAGCTATGCAAAGGATTCCTTTCCGAGTCAACTGCTAAAGTTTTAGGCTCCATAAAAGCAGACACATTTGCTGTGTTGACCATATAACTAAGGATTTCTGCTCATGTTGCTCAGCACTGTTTGAAATTTGTCTGTGTTTGTGTTTCCTGTGTCTTGGCTACATTCATCCCATATGTGTGGTGTTCCCATGTGGAAGTCTTGTTCGGCCCTGATTTGATTCTGGTGTTGCTGATATTTTCCATCTATCTCTGTTGGCAGATACCAACTCAACAGAAAGAAAACCTACAGATATTCTATCCAAGAAGCCATTACATATTCACATATAGCATTAATTTCTTTGTATACTGACCAATTTCTGTATGAGATGTCGAAAAAAAAAAACTTTCAATGCAGTAAAAGGGGGGAAACCCAGAAGAGAGCAGCAACAGCCTGGTAAGGGTTGCAAAAGGAGTCTTCCTCTTGTGACCCACTCCAACTAGGTCTAGTAACAGAAGAAGAAAGTAATAATACTTCAGCGTGACAATTAACCAGTCACTCGTCGGCTGATAGAGAAAATAGGTCTCGTGCAAGTACAGAGGATGATTTTTATAAGGAGGCTAACCGCTTCCCACAATCCCCCTCCTACCAAGACCATAAATATCAGTTGGTCATTTACTTCTAGTTTAGCTGGACACAATTCCCCTGAGGCTGAAGCAACCCATCTGTAAGTACCCCTCTCTCTCCCTCTTTCCTTTTCTTCACACATTCCCGATGGCAAAAACACAAAAAAAAAAGAAGTGGAGAAAAGAAAGAAAGAGAGAAAAAAAAAAAAAAAAATCAAGAAAAAAATGGGGCAACAATGTTCCTCCCCAGACAGGTGAGTTCTTATTTCTGAATGGCCTGCTTCGGCTAACCGATTGCCAATTAGGCAGGAAGCAGACTTGGTCTACCTCTGCATCGTCTTTGGGGCACACACTCAGGGCAGTACCACTTCTGCCTTTTAGGAGGCTCCTTGTCAATGCCAACACATCGAAAATAGAACCATTCATCACAAGAATCACACCCAATCATGTCCAGATTTCCCTGAGGAGAGTTGCACACAGGACACAACCAGACACGCTCCTCATCAATGGCAGCAGAACATGATGGAACCTCGTCCCTCTCTGCAATCGAAGCACTCCCAGGGGGTGACACAGGACCACTAGTTGGTAACTCAGCAGAACGGTTAGCTGTAATTGTCCCCAAGACCCAAAATGGTCGTGGTTTCAGAGGACTCTTAATCAGGAGCACATCATCTTTCTGAAGCCGGTTCTCCGTCTGCAATCGTGTTCATCCTGGGACCCTTCTCCCCAGCTCCAGAAGGTATTCCTTGTACCAGGACTCATGGAACCTTAATAAATACTGGTTCCTGAGGTCCATTGCCTTCATGAGCCTTTTTCTGCTGGCTGGTACTGCAAAAGCGATGTCATTCCTGTTGTTGACCGATCTCTGGATATCAGAAACCACTGTCAGAAGGGAAATAATCCAGTTTACTTCTGCCAAAAATCTTAAAAAGGCAATCCTTCACCGTTTTAATGCAACGCTCTCATGTTCCCCCATACCAAGGTGAAAACAGAGGGATGGTTTTTAGTTTTAATCCGCAGGAACCATACTTGCTTTTATACTCCTGGAAGACAGAGAGGTGGCTAAAAAGTCTTCTGCTTCCCAGAAAGGTCTTAGAATTGTCACTATAGATTACTTCCGGAACTCCATTTTGGTTGGTGAAGCGAACCAGGGCTTGAAAAAAGGATAGCACACTCATGTCTGGAACCAACTCAATATGTATTGCTCTGATATCCAAGCACGTGAACAAGAGCAAGTACATCTTCTTGTCCTGCTTACCATCATTGACCCAGAAATGGCCGGTGAAGTCAACGCCTGTATGCTGGTAAGGGACCTCAAATTCGACTCGATGGGTTGGTAAGCTAGCCACAGTACTCGGCAGTACAGGTCGCGAATTGTTTCACTTGCATCTGGCACATGACCATAAAACCTTGTTGACGGCCTGTCTTCCTTGAGGGACCCAGTAGCCGCACCGCCTCAACTCAGCCAAGGTAGATCCAGTTCCAAGATGACAACACTTTACATGACAATCCAAAATAAGAAGTCTGGTCACAGGGTGGTGTTTCCCTATCAGGATAGGGTTCTTGATTTCATAGGTAAGATGTGAAGATTGGTCAATTCTTCCTCTTGATCTGATTAACCCATCTGAGTCCAAAAAAAAGATCCAAGGCATGAACTCTAACGGGTTCAGATCTTCCTGCCGGCTTCGTTAGATACTCAACCTCTGAAGGGAATTCATGTCCTTGGAGAACTCTCATCAGGTAAATGGTCACCTTAGATCTGTAATCCCATTCCCGTCCTAGCCGAATGGCTATGAACTTGAACACCAGTGAGGTAACTCTCAGTAACCCAGAAAATGTTGAGAACCTGTGAAAGGGTATGACGGAGAGATATTCTTGGTCAAGAACCATAGAACAGTTCACTGAAGTACGGGCCATCTGCTGGCATGTCTTGCTTAAACAAGGCAAATCCTGTGTCGGCCACTGGATGATCCCCTCACACAACCAGGAAGGACCAGAACACCAAAATTGGAAGTTGGAACGAAACTTCCTCAACGTCATTCCCCTCAGGTGATCAGGTCGGCCGGATTATGTGCAGAATCCACATATTTGAAGAGAGTCTTCAGGCCGTAACGGGACTCCAACCCATGGTTCATTTGCAAGACATCCTTGAGTCGGTTTCTAGCAAAAATGTTTTTGCTGGCCATGGATTGAGACAAGAGCCAAGACAACACTACTTGGGCATCAGTAGCCACACATAAGTTACCTGGAACAAACCCTTCACAGTTGTCCAGGATTGTTGGTAGGCACTTGAAAGCTAAACAGCCATTAACTCCAAAACAGGCAGAGTTTTGTCTTTCATCGGAATGACCTTAGCCTTAGCAAACACCAAGGATGATCGATGATTTTGCACAATGTAAGCAGCAAATCCATATGCCTCCATGGAAGCGTCGCAAAAGAGGTACATACTTCCAGGCTGTCTCACATCGAGAACCTTTCGATAAAAAATGGTCACTTGGTCCAGACAGGTCCCCAGCAAGCTCCCTCCAATCACTCAAAACCGCAGTAGGGAGAGGATCATACCAACTCAAACCATTCTTCCACACAGACCTAATAAGTATTCGGCTGCGAACCATAACTGGGAGACAAAGAGATAAGGGGTCAAAAATTTTGGCCACCTCAGAAAGCACTCCCCTCTTTGTTGACGCATCGGGATCGCACTTGATGCGGCCCACGTGCATCTCTTCTGAAAGAGGGTTGTATCGGTAACCCAGCACCTTCTCCCATTCTTCATTATGTGCAGTGTACCATCTTCTTTCATCCTGGTTTGGAGAGCCTCATTGTTAGAATTGCAGGACTGAATAACAAAGCGGCCTTCCTGCAAACATTCCCGTGCCAGGGAGTACAATTTCGCCAGCTTCACCGGGTTTGCTTCCGATGTTACAAGATTGTCCACATAAAATCTGTCCTCAATCATCCTGTGGCAAGCATCTAGTCGGTATTTTGCTGCATGTAGTTTCAGAATACACCCCAGTACAAAAGGGCTTGAGGTGAACCCGAATATCAAGGTGGTATATGAAAAACAGCAAAGACGATCCCCATCCTTAAGGAAGAAACAGAACTGGTTTTTGTCAGCCTCCAACTTGAGAAGAATCATCAAGAATGCCTTCAGAATGTCTGCTAGCAGGACGTAATTGTTAGTTCTGAAAGACAATAATAATTTCAACATATGTCCAGTTAGACTGACCCCAGAGTAAGCTGCCTCGTTCAGGGACAATCCACCACCAGTCTTCAGACTGCAATTGAACACAGGTCTGATTTTGGTAGTAGCTGTTGGGTCAGACCTGAAAACTTGTCGATGTGGAATCCACACATATTTATCAAATTCGTGTTGAGGAACAAAAATCTCTTCAATTATTCCATCCTGTTCTTGCTGACGGAACAC